GCTTTGTTTCTGCCATTTTTCGTTTTCATGACTATCTCCTTGCATTTACTACTAAGGGAAATAACCTCATGAACTATGAATACTATAGTATATGGAGTTGTCATCCTGCTTTTCAATTTAAATGGCAGGTGCATTTTATTAATCAGTCGAACGCGAAAATAGGTAACAGGATAGGGGTAAGCTGAAACAAATAAATTAAAATAGCAGAAAGACTTGACATCTTTCCATAATGCATTGCACAAAAGTTAAGTGTAATTTCCGCTCTAAATAAGCAGACTTAATCGTAACCAACCGGTCACATGTAACTTCAGTAAACTTTATAGAGGGGAGGTTGTGGTAAGCTCGGCCAGCTGCCACACCTAAGTCCAAGTCCTTTTGAGAAAAAAAATAAAAGCTCGACCACGTTCAGACTGCTGCTAGCTAGCCTAGGCTGCTAACAGTCTCCGCCTATATTTGTGGTCTGGGTTATTTGCGTCACTTTCGTGACTGAATACTGGTGTTTGTGCCATTTCTGGCTTAATGTTTCCATCCGAATCAAACCGCTCGTCCTGATGTCACTGGTGCATGTCTTCCTTCTTCATTCTTGGTGTTTCCTGTTTGTTCTGTCTCCCTTTGATCTGGCTAGGCGTATCTCGAAGGAGAGCGAGCTTCCAAACACAACGACCTTTCGGCCACCATTTATTGTTTTAAAATTTTGAGTATTTTAATTTTGCCAAAAAGTACTGAAAACAGTTTTTGAATGTGAATAGTTCCGAGATGTGAAAATTTTCGCGTGTGACCATAGTGGTCTTATAGTTGTCTTCCTGTAATATGAACGGGTTAGTCGTGTAATGGATATGTGTGTGAGAGTTTGTGTGGAGTCTTAAGCGGGTCCAGTCGTCCTTTGTTATTATGTGATCGGGTTGTGTTGATAGCTAAGCTCCGGTGTACGTAAATACCATATAACCGGACCGTCCAGCTCACGCTTTGAGATCCAAATGATCGGCGATAAGAATTGTTGTGGCATGTTGGGCAACGAACTCAAGTGCTCTCTGTGGGAATGGGTTGGGGGGTTAAACTCATAGTGCATCCGAAAGAGTTAGGGGAAGGTGGGGGGAAGGGGAGCGGGAGGCCATTCAGTCAATTCTCGTTGTTGCCGTCTTGCTGGATTCTAGCGTGGCTTTTTGCCGGGACTATGTGTATCACGTTACCAACCTTTGCTATCATCCCAGTGATGGGGTGGTATTGGAGGTTATGCGTTCTAGTCCTGTCATTATCGAGTCACTTGTATTCCCTATTTGCTGTCAGTAATATTTTGTTATGAGTTCTGTCGGTCATGTGCATGTTGTATGCATGCTGTGGAGTGGGATGGTTTTGTTTATGAATCCCGGAGTATATGGACGCACCCAACTAGGTGTATGCGTACATGCACTCGAGTACTCATACATGCAGACAACACTACATATTTGTACGTCCTTTCATACTTATACGTGTGTGCATACCTAATTGACATTACGTACACACGCCAACTCTTTCATATGCGTTTACCAATGCCAGTACTTACATTCATAAAAAAACGAGTACATCCACACGTAGTGATATTCACTCTTCCATGTCTTATGTGTTTTGTGTGGCTTTGTCTGTAATTTCGTCTGGTCATGTCACTTTTAAGTTATGTCCTGTTACTGGTATGTGACCTGTCCGGTACTGACGTATCATGTTTTGGTGGATTGTGTGCGTTGATGACGTTCTTGCTGCTTACACCCTTCATTCCATTTGTTCTCATTAATGAACAGACATACAGCAACACAGTTTATGGTTTCTTTGATTGCACTGTCATTCATACACTCACAAATATATTAGTATACACGCTCTCATATATATACACACATGCACACTCATACACACATATACATGCATACAGTAATACATTTAAATCCATGTACTCATTCATCTGTACCTTTCGCACAACTATATTCCCGCGGATGTCCTAGAAACGCCAATGAAGTTTGGTTTAAGCAGTGCATCGGACCTGGCGGTTTCCCCGTTCCATCTGGATTCTTCTTCTTCTTCTTCTCTTCCACCTTTTACATCATCGAAGTGTCGGGGGGAGATTTAATGTTCGTTGATGAGCTCTGTCAAGAGCACTATTAAGACTGATGTTCATTTCTGAAAGGCTGTTCCTAATGCCATCACTCGCTCTAAACCCATTGTAACGTTTAGTGTGGCTCGCTGTGGTGGATAGTACCAGGGCATTCTTGTGTCTAAATCACTTCATTTGTTGTTCTTTGATGACCTGTAAGACTGGCTTTGTTCCTAGCATTCGTCTGATTTCATGATTTCGTATTCTGTCTTTCCTTGAAACTCCTGCAGCTCTTCTAAGGCATTTCATCTCTGTTGTCACAATTTTACGTTCATTGGAGGATGTAAGTGTCCACGTTTGGCATTGATAGCATAGCGTTGGCCAAAACATAGTTCTGATATTTAATACTCCGAGGTATATGCTTGTGTGTCAACGTGGGAGATAGTTGACCCATTACTTGATTAGCTTTGGCACATCTGGAGCTAATTTCTCTGTCCAGTTTTCTGTCGGATGTAAAATTGCTCCCAAATACTTAAATTCCTCTGTTTGTCCCAGGGTGTTGTTTTTCAATTTAATTTCTAAATTGTCTTTATGTCTTCCTATCATCATTGTCTCTGTCTTCGTAGTGTTTATTTTCAAATTATATTCCTCCCCTTTGTTACTAATTTGCTTCAGGTGGTTCCGTAGGCATTCCGTATTTTCTGCTATGGTAACCTGGTCGTCGGCGAAGAGTAATTCTGTAATATCTTCTTTGTGATTAAAGTTCGTTTCACTACATCCATGAATGTTATAAAAAGAAGCGGCGATAGTACACAACCCTGACGCACACCAGAGTTCACTATAAAAGTTCTTGACAACCCTGCCTTCGATCTTATGAAGCATTTACAATGTGTTTACAGGCTTTTGCAAATATTAATGAGATGATTGCTGATTCCTTTTTTCCCATACATTCCCACAACATATTCCTGTCGACTCTATCGAAGGCTTTTTCTTGGTCTATGAATGTCAACAAACATGTCTTATCAAATTCTATTGCCCTCTCTGATAGTTGTCTCAATGTATAAATGGCATCTGTGCAACTTCTGTTTCGTCGAAAACCCATCTGTGCTTCTGAAAGTTGATACTCTATCAATGGTCTCAGCCTTTTTTCGATGATCTTAGCATACATTTTCCCAGTGTGACTGAGAAGTGATATTCCTCTGTAATTAGTACATTCCCTCTTACTTTTTCACAGCGGGACAACGACAGCAGTCTGCCAATCTAATGGTGTTTCTTGATTTTCCCATGCCACCTGAAATATTCTCCTTAACTATTTTGCTCCCGTTTCTCCTGCTGCTTTGATGGCCTCAGCTGGAAGATCATCAATACCTGTCGCCTTTAGTCTAGGGGCGGGTCGAATGACATATTTTACTTCATCCAATAATATACCTGGTTCTAGTTCCTCTGCTGTTAATTCCGAGTTGTTTTTATGTTCTTCTCTGCTTTTGTCTGTTTTTGCAGCTAAGTAATGATTCAAAGTAATTACTCCACCTTGCTAAAATTTTGGTAGGTTCTATTAAAGGTTGGCCAACTTCATCATTTATAATTTCTGTCTGGATTACCGACGTAATATCATTCGGGCTATCTGGGGATTTGAGAGACCGGGCTGAGCATTTAGGAGAACGACCAGAGAAAAAAAAATGCACTACAGATTTTGGTACTTTACCAGCACTTAATCATCTCAGTGACTGATTATGGATCAGGGTTACTCACTGTCTCGAAGAGTCAACCAGTCAAACTGGAGCGCATACAGAATAAAGCTATGCGGCTGATCCAGAGTTGTACAAGAAACACGCCGATTGTGTGTATGCGATACATCCTTGCATTGCCGACTACTGCAGATAGGCTAAAAGTGCTGCAGGCTAAGTCAGAGTAGCTCCAGACAGGTGACACCCTCTGTATGAAGCTTTGGCTGCAGGCAAGGGTCAGAGGCTGAAAAGGGGTAAATGGTGGATGGCTCAAGCAGAAGACACAATAAGCAATAAGACATGTATGCATGCTGGAGAACATCGGGCAAGAAAAGGAGTGGGTCAGAGTACCAGCGGAAAAGTCTAACCTGTGTAGGGTTATGATCACATTAGGCCGGGTGTGCAGAAAGTGGCCAGCGGGTGCAACAGAGGTTGAAGTCAAACAGTTGATTCACGACAAATCACTTCCAGGTGATCTGATTATCTATACAGATGGTTCGGTGCTGAGAGGAAAGAGAAGTGCATGAGGGTTCGCAGATAAAGCCAACGGAAAATCTTTAGTGCAAGACAGCCTAGCATATGACACCACAACATCTAGCATGAGACTGGAGGTGGAGGCGATAACTGCAGCTCTCTGGTGGCTAGAGAACAAGATGCATACACATGTCGTAATTTTATCAGACTCTGAAAGCATGTTGAAAAAAGTAGAGGCAGGGATGCTTCGAGCAGAGTGGCAAGCTTCACTGGAAAGATCACGGGTAGTTTTAATACTTTTGATCTTTTCTCCAGGCGTGGTGGGTAATGAACAGGCAGACAGATTGGCTGGATCTTCAAAACTGGGTGGTGAATTGTTACATGACAAGGCCGATGTGGTCAGGGCCCTTCGGGAACAAGCAGGGGAATCAGTAGAGAAACGAGATTATTATGGCCTGGAGAGAATGAGGCACCTGGGTGTAACCAGAGGGTTTGGCCGGCTGAAAACACTCAGGGGAAAGGCAAGACAGACATTTAACCAGATTGTGACCGGTACCATCAGTCTTGGAACTCTGTGCTAGCTGCTGAAGATAAGGACGGAGCATGCATGGGAATGCCTGTGAGTGCTGTGATGTCCATTTTTGATTCAACTCAACTTAACTCTACTCAGTGAAGCAAAGTGTTTTCGTAGAGAGGTTGTTGAAATAAAAAGACATACATCTTAATTGAATTTAAAGACTACTTAACAACGATGGCTGAAGAAATAAGCAGCAAAGCATATTCCCTGGCAGATCAGACATTGACAGAGCAACTTTTGGAACTTCTACAGCAAGCTTCCAAAGATAAGCTGAAGAAAAAAAGGGGCCAATGAAGCCACTAAGACGCTGAATCGAGGACAGGCAGAATTCATTGTTCTAACAGCAGATGCTGAGCCAGTTGAAATTCTCTTGCACCTGCCCTTATTAAAAGTAAAGTAAGTAAAGTTCCCTTTTCACGCCTTTTGGCGCATCAGGCATATGGGCAGATCGTCCCATATTTTTACAGACCATCAATCAGCACTCTGTGGGTAATGTGGTCAGCATTACGCCGGCTGTCTTTACTTTCCCAGGACAGCCCATCCTGGTACCCATTTTAGGCTGGGTCGACCTGCGACGTCCCATACCACGACAAAAATTCACGCAGCCTGCAGTGGGTTTCGATCGCGGTTTGCTGGCTTATGAGTCGGACTCGCAACGCCTTAGCCACGGACGTCCCGTATATTTTTGTTTGATCAAAACAAGCTTTGGGAAGAGCTTGTCGTGTGTCAGGTCCTGTAATTGTCTGCTCAGCTAGAAGGAAGGATTCCAGCTGCAGGGTTTCCCTATTGGCATTTTTTATGCCAGATTCAACAAATTTGGCATATTTGAAATTGAACTGGCATAAGAGAATGAACTGGCATATTTTGGCATATTTGGGTTTTTCCTGGCTTTTCTTATCAAGACGTGCTCACATTTTCTTCATGGTTTCTCCGTGAGAAACACGCAGATTTACAAAAAAGCAGTGTAAGCCTACATTTAACATCTTTATTTCAGTTTGACTTTGTTGTGATGTCCTGGTACAGACAAACGGAGATTCGCGCGATTTCTTATTGCGTGATATGTTGTAGTCTTCCTAAACGGATCGTGACTGCGATAAATCAAGACCTTCTGTAATTTACGTTAATCTACTAGAAACCAAAAGCCACCACTGATACCAAGTGATTCAGACTGTTTAGATACTATTTGAGGACAAAAAAAAAAAAAAGAGGATATAGACCTAGATCTTTCTGTGAGAGATTTTATTACTTTTACCAATGGCAACGTCATCCCACCAAAAAATTGAAAGCATCCTATGATAGAGAACATACACTTGGCTCAAAGATCTTCAAACGGATCAGACGCAGCATATAGCAAACTGCGTCAGTGCACTGTTGCACCAAGAATTAGTAGCATATCAAATCATGACAAATTCTAAAAACACAGGAAGAAAACTCCGTCAAAAAGCCAGTCACAGCTTATAACAACAATAACTCCCAGGCAAAGTAATGATAAAGTTTAAGGCAGCAGAGTTTCAACTTGCTGTAGGCATGACCTACCATTGTGCAACACGCACAATTGATCATCTAAGTGAAATCATGTGAGCGCGTGGTCGGGGGGAGTACATTGGAGAACATACAGTTGCATATAACTAAACGTTCATGACTAATAAAAAAAAATACTTGTAAATTTTACCCTGATCTCCCCATTTACACACCGCTACAGACTAGCTCGCTTCTGATTGGACGACCTACTGACCACCTGACTACTGATAGGTCGGCCTCAAGTGATCCGACTTTCAAACAAGGTCACAGGGATATTCCGCACTCGCGCTCATATCTCATTTTGTATATTTCATTATGTCAGAGCTTTTAACACTTCTAAAACATTTAAATACTGGGTCTAACCCATGACCCCCCCCCCCCCCCCCCAGATAGTGACAAAATCTATGTCACAGGCCGTCTCTTTCTCGGAAATAAAAACGTAAATGCCAGACAACAACAGTCTGTGACACCCATAACCTCGACAGTGGTAGATTAGTCCAACCACCTTATCAAGCAGCGGTGTGTAAATGGGGAGACAATCATATAAATAACCAAAATATTATATCGCCTGCACTTAAGGATGATCTTTTTGATGATTTTTGGAACAAGAAATATGCCATCATTATAGATGAGTTGCAAAGACTTCATCCCATCTAAGAAAATGCTTAAAGATTTTACATCCAAAATGGAACACGCTGTATCTTCCACTGGTTCCAGTGAGAATGACAGTGAAACATTCATTCTAGAGCTTTTGATGTGAAGTGAGTACAATGTTACATTTTATCTGGCATTTTCTGGCATATATTGGGTAATGGCTTGGCATAAAATGAAGTTTTTTTTTTATCTGGCAACCCTGCCCAGCTGAAAAACCAGATACAGTCAGTTCAGCGAAACATTGAGCGCTTGCTAATTACAGCATGGATTTTTTAGCAGTTCCTATTTGGCATTTTCTGATATTTCATCATTTTGAAGAGCACTCATTGATTCACCCATTATTCAGCACTGCATACATTTATAATAAACACTTAAAAATGTCAACAACAAAAAAGAAAAAAAAAAGAAACACCATTCTATAAATACTTCTTCCTAAGTCCATGCTATGTAGCATAAGGGGCAGACAAAGTGCTCAGGGGTTCAGAGCAAAGGCGGATGGACGTCGCTTAGTGTAGCAAAGCCTTGCATATGATATCACAATGTCTAGTTTAGGACTGTAGGTGGAGGCAGTCTCTGCTGCCTTCCACTGGCTTGAGAATCAGCTGTACACACATGCCGTAATTGTAACTGACTCATAGAGCATGTTGAGAAAGGTGAAGACAGGCATGCTTAGTGCAGATTGGCAAGCATCACTTCAGAGGTTGCGGGTAGTTACCATCCTTTGGGTATTTCCTCCAGGGCATGCCAGTGTGTTGGGAAATGAGCAGACAGATAGACTGGCCGGTTCTGCACCACTTGATGGTGAACTGATGATGACAAGCTAGATATTGTGAGGGCCATTTGGGAAAAAGTGAACAGTGCCGATGCGCGGACAGATAATTACGGTCTGAGGGGAATGACGCTGTGAGGAGTGAACAGGCGATGTGCCGACGCTCAACACTCAGGGAAAGGATGAGACGGGTATACAATCAGACGGCTACTGGTGCAATCAGACTCGGAACTCTTCACTTGCTGCTGAAGATAGGGACAGAGCACTTATGGGAGTATTCTGAGTGCTGAGGTGTTGATTCCCAATTCAACATCCAACATTCAACATTCAACTCATCCTCCTCCTCTTCTAATTCTTCTTTTTCTTCTTCTTCTTATTATTATTATTGTTATTATTATTTTTCTCCTCCTCTTCCTTCTACTTCTACTTCATCATATTATTTTTTCTCCGCTGCTGCTGCTCCTCCTCCCCCTCCTGCTTCTTCTTCTTTTTCTTCTTCTTCTTCTTCATTCATCATCAAAAGGGCAGTAGGCACGTTTTGTTGTGGTTTACAGCAAGGCTGCAATTATCAGCATATTACAGTCCAAAACGTATGAATCTAACACAGCCCTCTTTTTTAAATTTACAGCCTGCTTGTTAACTGGGCTGGTCTATTCCACCACTCCCCTCTGCCCCCTGAGTGAATTACAAAAGACAGTGAAGTGCATACTAGAGACCAAATTACAGATATATTTTCAAGCCAACGAAAGAAAAAGAAGAAGAAGAAGAACTGATTAAAAGTAGTACACAAGACAGAAGGTTTTCTTTAAATTTTTTTCCAGTGTACCTTTGCAGCTACAGAAATAACATAAATGGCAGGAAGACATCACGCAAATACATTCCTACCAGATTTAGTTAACTTTTTATGAGTGATAATATTCATAAATGGGAGTCACATTGGGCTAGCAGCTAAACACTTGCCCAAGGACCAGAAGATCATGGATCCGAAAATGAATGGAGCTGGACTTTCAAAAGTAAAATGAACTTGGTTTCCAGGTCGACTCGTCTTTGAGTGGGTAGATGGAAAAGTCCTGGGAATTAAAGGCGGCCAGCCTGATGACTCAACGAGTGCCAATTGGTCTATAAAATATAGGTCTAGCCCTATATGCCCACTACACATTAAGATGTGCAAAAGAGTCTTTTAATATTCAAAAGTGGCTGTACTGGTATTTCAATGGCTAATTCTAGGCGAAATATATAATATTCTATCCATACTGAATATAAACATGAAATGCTATAAAGACACACATTTCAAAACAAAATACTTTATTCGCAAAGCATATTGAAATTATATGTGATGCCCTATAAGTGAATTTAAAAAATTAGATAAGTAAGTAAGTAAATTTTACCCCACCAGTACACAGAGCGATAAACACCTGGTGACACAAAGTACCACCATCCGGAGGCGGATCACCCGTGGAGATGTCCCGGAAACCCCGTTCAACCATCAGGTTATATTAGGGCCCCTGGCAATAGCCAGGGTGCGGCTTCAAAATAACGCAAAATTGCATCCCACAAAGGGATGACTTAATTTTTGTAACTGAAATTAGATAAATGTCCTGGATGACCCTCACTATAATTATAAACTAGATGTTAATTTATCATTTTCAGAATATTGTGACCATTTATATCATCATCATCAGGTGCCTTGTCGACTGGCGTGGGCGATCATGCCTCTCCATAATCTGCGATCTCCTGCAGCATGTATCAGTTCGTGTGCCGACACACCTCCATGCCATGCAACAAGACTGTCAAGCATCTTCTCTCATTGCCTTCCTCAATCCCTCCTTCCACAGATCTTTCCAGTGGTCACAACATGTTCTATTTTTCCCTCTTCTCATAACATGGCCAAAAAACGATGACTGTCTCCTTCTGATGTCTGTGATAAGTTGCCTTCGGGCTCCCGCCTCTTTCAAAACCTATTGGTTTCTCTTTTTGGCTGTCCAAGGTATTCTAAGTATTCTTCTGTAAAACCACATCTCTGAGGCCTCTAGAAATTGGACCATTTAAATATGTTATTGAAACGAATCTTCTTGTGTTTCTTTGTCTTATGTAAATATATATATATATATATATATATATATATATATATATATATATATATATATATATATATTATCATAAAATGGTCACTAAATAATATTAAGTAGAAGATAAATACCAGCTTGGCAACTTCTATAAGTAATGTGTTTGATACATTAGGGCTAAGCCAGTTTCTTTACCTCAACTCTCAAAGCAAACAGTATTGTACAATACATATACACATAATTAACATTGACAGCTTTAAGTTTTCAAACTTTTAAAAATAAAATTAAACTTGGATTATAGAAATGACTGCAAAATAAAAATGAAACAGTAATTATTGTAGGTATCTAATCAGACTGACATGAAATTGTTAAAGATTCTTAAAACA